TCATCCGCACCTGCAAAACGTGGCAGAAAATTACTGGCATTCGAAGACAGCAGTGAAGTTGTAAAAAGACGGAAGACATCGGATTTAAGGAACAAATATCCAACGGCTGAGTTAGCATATTATACTCAAATGAAACTAAGAGAGGAGAGTAAACACGATTCCGCGACTTATGTGCAAGATATTACACAAAGGAGTCCATCAAGAGCAACGCAAGTGTCGTCATTGCAACGTTAAGTTTCTAAATCTCTTGTTCCGTTTACAAATAATAAAGCTCTTGTCATGGATCTGAATCTGACGAAAAATCAATATGAAAGATTGCATAAAGGTGCCGTTCAGCGTAACGCAATCCTTTATCCCTCATACCACAAAGTGTTGGATGCAAAGAGAAGTTGTTATCCCGTAACAGAATCCTTGCTGATCTCAGAAACTTCAGCTGAACATATAATATGACATGATATAAGCCATAGTCTAGTCTAGTCTAGTCGGGGTATAAGTCTTTATAACGACTTTCTTGCACCTGTTCCGACAATTGGCCTATTGGAACTAGAAAGCTTTCCACAACTTTAGATCCGTGAATCAGAATTTTTTGAACAGGAACCGGCTTTACTCTGATGAACGCAAATGCAACGAACGTTTTGTACCATAACGCTCGAATGACAGTTAAAAAATGGCAATGGGTTGCTTTGGCATGTCAAAAACAAACAAACAAAACATGGTGGGTGGTTAGAATGCTGTTAATAAAACATTGGTCAGCTCACATGGGTACAACGGGATACAAATGACTACTAGATGAAATGATAGTATTTTCACTATAATTTCATCATATTGAGGAGCCGTCTGCCCCTTTTTGCCTCTTTGAAGTTTGTGGATGCTTGAAGTTTGGCTATTTTTGAGCTGATATTGCCTATAACATTTTCTGTTTTGCAGATAGAACCTTTTTGTCTTCAGCAAAGTTGTGTATTTTATTGATTATTAAAAAGTTGCACAACATTATAGTCATCTAAAACAAATAATTTCGGAAATATTTACAAAAAACGGATTTTTGAGGCCCTTCAATAAAAAAAACGCTTCATAGCTTTTAACCGCAAGCAGATAGAGACATTCAGTCTTCTACAAAGTTTTGACGTAGGACTACGTCTGTGATTTCTATATAGGGGGTACACTTTGTGAAAACCGAAAATGGGACATGTAACAAAATTATGAAAGATTTTGAACGATAATAACTCAGTTGCCCCTGGACCAATTTCAAAAATTTTATCACCGATCGATCAGAAATATTTGTACGCATCTGCTTACAGAGTTAAGAATTTATCATTTTATAAATGTCACTATTGAAAATTGCATAAATGTGCAACTGTTGCTTTGATAATTAAAATTAATTGATTGCCTGCAATAAGCGATTTCCCTAGCACAGATTTCAAAGTTCAATTCCATGCGGTCTCACCAAACGGTGTTTATTCGGTGGTCTTCAGTACACAACGAAAGGCTCTCCCCAAGCAACGAGTTATCAAGGCTAGCCTCAACCGTTGATCGGATTCAGTTCCAATCACCGTGTGTGGTGGTGTCCGGTCGTCGGCATCAGCAGCAGCAGCAGTGCTTTCGGCACGTGGCGTTGAACATTGTTCTCCAGTATACAACGAAAGACTGAGGTGGAGCCCACATGAGCATCAGTAGCTCTTCGTGAGTAACATAAACAGAGACACGCAAAACACAAGCTCCTGAAGCAGTTAACAAATAAGATTTATTATTTAAAACCACGTAGTCCTACATCACCATTTCGTGCAACCCCATAGGGCTGTCCCTTGCAGTTTTTAGTTATGAAGCAACCTACAATTAACTGAAGACTTTATATCTCTATCTGGTCAAACTAAAAAGATAGATGTTGCAGCACCACCTGTGGCGAAGTTTCGAACTAAAACTTAACTTCATTCAATGGGTCTTGTCATTTATAAAAACTCTTCTGAAGACATATTGAAAAAAGCACTGGCCTTTTGCACCGCTGTACGATCAGGCAAACAGTTTTCGAGTAAAAATTTTCTGAAGATAAGCTTGATATTTTTCTATAGGCCTTTTTCAAAAATAAGGCTTGGTTCGAATTGGTCATAAGGAACGTTTCTGCTTATTTTCAACCCAATCAAAAAATACAAAAAAACCGATTTGCGAATTCGCAGAGAATTGCTCTATATCAACAATTCTCGATTACTTTTTCAAACGGCCGTATCAGCTTTTGTAAGCAATGCATTTGATCGTCGATCTGGCGTAACTGGTAGCTCACCCACGCATGCTTACACTACCATCAGATAGGGGACATTTTTCCCTACCTGATAGTGGTGTTAGAATGCGTGGGCGAGCTATCAGTTACACCAAACCGATGATCAAATGCATTGTTTACAAAAGCTGATACGTCCCGTCGAAAAAGTAATCGAGAATTAACATTTTGCCACATTTCATATTTTTATAGACACAAATCAAGGCATACTTCAATCAAATGTAAAAAGTACTGAATTTTACGGATGTTCTGGATCTTCCAGGAGACCATGGTCACTCAGAGTCTATGGCTAGCTGATATATCAAAACTCATTATTTATCACATTCCATATTGCTGTAGAGACAAATCAAGGAATACAAAAATCAACTATAAGAAGCACTTAATGTTATGGATGTTGTGGATCTTCCAGGGAGCCTCCCTTCGGTTCAGATGCTAAAGACGCAGTTATAAGCAAGATCATGCAGGAGGCGGCTGGGTTCGATTCCTAGCTCGGTCTAGGATTTTTTGAGATGAAAATTTCTCAAATTCCCTGGGCATTAAGTGTGATTGTACAGGCTTAAAGGGTGATACGGTCAAAATTTGGTCAATATCAACTTGACGTATTTCTTTCAATTTTGCATTTAAAAAACCTGAACACCCCTCATTTTGAAGGTGTGTGTGTGTGTAGAATGTTGCTCCTATTTTGATTTTGGAATTCACTCTTCAGTTGTCAAAATGCCGTCCAAGCAAGAAGAGCAGCGTATCAAAATTTTGCTCGCGCATCGCGAAAATCCGAGCTATTCGCACGCAAAGTTGGCAAAATCGCTAAAAGTTGCCAAATCAACCGTTACAAATGTAATTAAAGTGTTTGGGGAACGTTTGTCGACAGCCAGGAAGTCTGGATCGGGGGGAAATCGAAAACCGGAAGCCGCTGAGACGACAAAGAGAGTTGCCGGTAGTTTCAAGCGAAACCCTAACCTCTCTCTCCGAGATGCCGCAAATAAGCTGGGTGTATCGTCTACAACCGTGCATCGAGCCAAAAAACGAGCCGGACTATCGACTTACAAGAAGGTAGTGACTCCAAATCGCGATGATAAACAAAATACGACGGCCAAAGCGCAATCCCGGAGGCTGTACACGACGATGCTGACGAAGTTTGACTGCGTGGTAATGGACGACGAAACCTACGTCAAAGCCGACTACAAGCAGCTTCCGGGACAGGAGTTTTATACGGCAAAAGGAAGGGGAAAGGTAGCAGATGTTTTCAAGCACATGAAACTGTCAAAGTTCGCAAAGAAATATCTGGTTTGGCAAGCCATCTGTACCTGTGGCTTGAAAAGCAGCATTTTCATAGCTTCCGGGACTGTCAACCAAGAAATTTACGTGAAAGAGTGTTTGAATAAACGTCTGCTGCCTTTCCTGAAGAAACACGGTTGTTCCGTACTGTTTTGGCCGGATTTGGCATCTTGCCATTACGGTAAAAAGGCCATGGAGTGGTACGCCGCCAACAACGTGCAGGTGGTTCCCAAGGACAAGAACCCTCCCAACACGCCAGAGCTCCGCCCAATTGAGAAATACTGGGCTATTGTCAAGCGGAACCTAAAGAAGACCAAAAAAGCTGCTAAGGGCGAGCAGTAGTTCAAGGCAAACTGGCTTTCTGCGGCGAAGAAGGTGGACAAGGTGGCTGTACAAAATCTGATGGCAGGGGTCAAGCGTAAGGCCCGGCAATTCGGATTTGGAAAAGCGGAAGCCTAACTGAATATTTTTCCTGAATTTTATACTAATTGAACTTAAAAAAGAAATTTAATTTGATTTTTTAAATAAACGATTTCACCGATTTACACGCGTTTTCCCTTGACCAATTTTGACCGTATCACCCTTTAGAAAGCAAGGGCAAAGAGGATCTGACATTTTCATGCAGTATAAATTTCAATAAAACGTCAGTAAGAAAGTAAAAGAAATACTTACTTTATTTTTTAATTTGCATCATTGAACATATTTTACGTCCGGGAGCTAAGAGATTTGGCAAGCCTGCAATAAATTATTCGAACCAGCGTTCCTTTATGTTAAGAATATGTAGCTACCCTTCAGCATAGCCCTGGATCCGCCAGTGATTGGTCCCACAAACACACGCTCACACTCATTTTCACGCACGACCTGTCTGTCGAAAAGGCAACCCCGTTTTCTGTCTATCAACGGCGGCTTGAACGAAAGTGACACGGATCCCACCATCAACCCATAAACGGAGAACGATTAGTACCAGATAATAGGCAAGATAACCGATGGTCGCACGCATCGTCCGTTGTTCCACGATGAGAACAATCATACGCCTACTGTGATGCTCCTCCGTGACGTGTCATCTGTCGCACCATCGTTGTCAAGCAAGCGTGAAAAAAAAATCATGGCACACTAGAATCGCGCACCACCACGGCCAACGCTACTAGAACGGCAAACGATGGCAGGTCATTTACGTAAAATTAAACTCAGAATTGCTGTTTCCTTCCGTGCGCCGTCGTCATCGTCGTCGCAAATTGCATCCTGAAGCGGCTAACGTCCAACGTGTGTGACTACTGCTATCTGCCATCAACTTTTGTCATTAGATCCTCGTCCCGGCTTCTGTTACACTTTGGAGAACCATGCAGTAATCCCTGCTCTTTCATCTCTTCCTTTTTCTATCTGCTCCGCAACCGACGCCCGATGACAACGTCACTGACGACGAAAAAAAAATCCGACTACCGCATCTTTCCGACAGGGATTAAAGCGATCCGTAACGACACTGCGGGGTGGTTCGCTGGGATACGCTGAAATCGTAGCCGTCAAGGTACCACCATCTTTTATATTTGCCCTTGCTACCACCACTTGGTTGGTTGGTTGGTTGGTTAGTTGGTTGGCTGGTTGTGCTTATCAGCTTTCTTCAAGAGCGCAGCGTTTTTCCTTTCCCTTGTTGTTGAGCGGGGTGGAAAAAGGGTGGATTCCACGCCGCTGTGGCTAACAACAATACCCATTCCCAACCGTCCAAAGCCCGGGAACCATCAGTCCGACACACAAGGGAAAGGGAAACTCTTGTTCCAGTAGTTTGACGTTGTTGTGTTTGGCTTATGCTTTTTGCTGCGTTATCTTCGTCAGTTGGTGTACTGTAGCAAGTAGTGGTAGAACTAGAATTTCCTCTTTTCTTTCCACTGTAGTTGTAGTCGTAGTTGTTGTTGTTAATGCTTATTACTCAGAAACACAGTAGCGATTATTAAAAACTTCTGGTTTACGGAATAAACACAAACTCCTCCGGGTGGACTGGGCCTGGATTTCCGCTTTCTTGGATTTTCATACACTTTGTGGCTAACGAGAATTACAAACAACCAGTACTTACTAACGAACTCCTCAAGGATGAGAAATAATGTGCAACAGGTAGGCAGTAGGCTGAGTAAAGCAGATGGAAATTATCTCCGCATGATGGAAGAACTTTAATCAAAACAATCTGCAATGGTAAAATGTTGAACGGTACTCGATTCTTTAGGTAGGAATTGCGAAATTTATGAAAATCCATTCTACATAGAACAATATGCTTTACCCACGCCTACTTGGACCACCCAGAAAAAAAAAAGATCCCCACTTTCTGCTCTCCAACAGTAGCGACCCAAGAAGCTGCCATCCAACGCCCTCTACCCAGCACAGCATCATTGAAGATAAAGTAGTTTTACATTAACCGCTGCGTTATTATTTTTTCTACCCGTTACAAAGCACCATAATCTTAACAATGAACACATTTAACCGCCCGCACCGCAAAGCACCACCCTGCCCACATACAACATTCCAAGCTTACTGCGTTGAAACAATTTCGCTTCACCCTTGCTGGTTGACCATCAAAGTAGTCGTCGTCGTCTATGGATCCAGTAAAATACACGCTCAATTCAATTTGAAAGGTCTTCCGCTCTTTTCTCCCTCACATCAACGTTAAAAGTCAGTCCCCCCATGTCAGATTCCCTGGGAAAACGGCAGGGAACACTGCGACCAGGAAGTATGGAACAATTTGTTTTCCAACCAACTACGGCCGGAGACGATCAACGGGCTGCTAAGGAGACTCACTGTGACGGTTGGCAAGAGGGAAAACGGAAAACATATTGCGATATTTGTGGATTTTAATAAAGAGAAAGTGGACAAAGTCTGTGGCCACCCAAACGGCTACCTCCATTCCTCGATGGGCAACTTTACTGGGAATGAAAAGAGCAAAGAGTTGCGCAGGAATGTGTGCTGCTCAGCCAAGGAAAACTAGAACCAAGCCCCGAGAGCAGTGTGATGTTTTATTGTGTGATTTTAATTAAAAGCAATATTTTACCAAGTTTTTCTCATGGCGACGACCGACCGGACCGACCGCTTGTAGCTGTCCGTTTACATCGGATAACGTAACAAAGTAACCAAACGGATTAACAAGATGGTCTCCGAAAAATGCTTCAAATGCTTGCTTTGACAATGTTAACCAACTCTTTATTTTTTACCTCTTCTGTTTAATTACTTCTCACAACGCACACACCGCCTACTGCTGCTCATCACGTGTCCTTGGACATTTTTTGCACCACCAACCGTTAACACCACGTTGGCCCTGGCAACACGCTTTTCACCTCGTTCTGCACACCAATTTTTTGTTCGTTTTGTTACGTTAACACTTTCACCTCCCCCTTGGACGACACCCTCCAGGACCTTCAAGCAGCCGGTCACAACGTGTCTGCTGCAAACATTATCCAGCTAAAGGTAAGTTCCGCAGCTTCCTCCGTTCTCCCCCCTCTGCGGTCGATCCACACCGCGTACCATCATCATCGTCACTCAGCGCAACCATCACCATTTCATCATGGCCTGCCAAGATTCATATATCCTTTTTCAAGCTTGCCGTCTTTTCGTCCTCCCGGTTTCTTTTTTTTTTACTGGCTGTCGTCACCACGCGTTCCATCGTCGTTAAAAGTCCACGTGAGCAGGAATGATAACCTTTTCCGAGAGATTCTCCGAAAGGACCTCAGTAGCAGCAGAAGCAGTTTTCCGTTGCAACTTTTATGACACACGTATGCTTTGGTGTGTCGCATCGGTGTAATTTAAGACAGGATTTTCCAGAGAGGAGGTGGGCTGATGCATGAGGACGTGTCCTGTCTGTGCTCTGTCATGTACAAACGGTGTTACTTTTTTCCCTCCATTTTCCCGAGTGCACTTTAGCTATTACAGCTGTTCTCCTCTCGAGGGAGCAGCTTTCTCTGCAGGGTGCTTTAGCGGTAGAACTTTCGCTCCACTTTAACGGTAGAATTTTTTTCCGATAGATTTAGTTAATACATTTCACCATTGCATGACAATGACATAACCTTAAATGAACGCTCAAGCACAGCATGCCATGTGTTTAACAACAACGCGCTTTCTTGTTTACATTCGTACGTGTCACTCTTGTTGCTGGGCTTTGTTTGCTGGGATCTCTCAAAACCGAAACCAACATCAAGCGCCCACTTGCACTCGCTCCTTACACAAAGTCAAAGCGCAGACGACCAGATGGATGGCTTTCGAGAGTGTACCATCATCAGCCCACAAGTAGCAAAAGCAGCAAGGGCTTTGCTCTTCCTACGCTTCTTGTTGTTCATTCGAAACGGTCCTACACACGGACACCGTCACGGAGTGCGATGACATTCTGTCATCTTCAGGTAAACAAATCCACCGAAGAACACTTGTTCAAATAGCCCTTTCATGGCACGAAACATCACTCATTGGATTGCTTCGGGGTTTGCTTTGTGCCGTTTGGTTTCGGTTGCTGTGGGATTCAGCCGTTGCGTCGCAGCAAGCCGCGATAAATGCAACACGCGCGTGACTAATCGATTATTTTGACTGTATTTCACACTCGCTATAGGGTGAGCCGGGAGAGCCGGGTCCACCAGGGCCACCGGGACCATTGGGGCCCTCCGGTCCAATTGGATTGGATGGACGGCCGGGGCCACCGGGTGATCCCGGTCCCAAAGGAGATCCAGGCACGGCAGGAGAGAACGGCCCAGTTGGGAACCCGGGTACGGCAGGGCTGCCAGGAACGAAGGTAAGAGGAAACTCCACCGGTTTGCACCAATTGTGTAGCTAATTTTTCGATATTTTCCTTTTTCGAATTTAGGGTGACCGAGGAGACAAGGGTGACCGAGGGCTGACGACGCACTTCAAGGGCGATCAGTTCCCGGCCGGTATCATCGAAGGGCCACCCGGCCCTCCGGGACCAGCAGGTAATAACAATATAGGAATGATTGAAATAATGGAGGTAAATTTAAAAAAAAGTAAATGTCAACATTGGAAAGTACAACCAAAATAGAGTTCATCACCCTATGTGCCTTTGAAGTCAATGTTGAAGTCCAGAACTTTAAGCTTTAGAAGAAATCAAAGAAATTTGTTTGGAGAAATGCCAATGAATTCATAGGACACTTTCAATGTGAGTAGAATTCCAAGGAAAGAAGTGAAATTCAAAAGGAAATCTGAACTGAATTCAATTAATATTCTGAGAATCTTTCCAAAGAGTTTCTTATTGTGAAGAATTTTAAGGTAATTCGGACGAAAATTAAAATAAATCTTGAGGAATATTTCAATGGAAATCTCCGCTGAAAATAAAATGAACAATTCTAAGGTCTTCAGAACTAAAGGGTGATACGGTCAAAATTTGGTCAATATCAACTTGACGTATTTCTTTCAATTTTGCATTTAAAAAACCTGAACACCCCTCATTTTGAAGGTGTGTGTGTGTAGAATGTTGCTCCTATTTTGATTTTGGAATTCACTCTTCAGTTGTCAAAATGCCGTCCAAGCAAGAAGAGCAGCGTATCAAAATTTTGCTCGCGCATCGCGAAAATCCGAGCTACTCGCACGCAAAGTTGGCAAAATCGCTAAAAGTTGCCAAATCAACCGTTACAAATGTAATTAAAGTGTTTGGGGAACGTTTGTCGACAGCCAGGAAGTCTGGATCGGGGGGAAATCGAAAACCGGAAGCCGCTGAGACGACAAAGAGAGTTGCCGGTAGTTTCAAGCGAAACCCTAACCTCTCTCTCCGAGATGCCGCAAATAAGCTGGGTGTATCGTCTACAACCGTGCATCGAGCCAAAAAACGAGCCGGACTATCGACTTACAAAAAGGTAGTGACTCCAAATCGCGATGATAAACAAAATACGACGGCCAAAGCGCGATCCCGGAGGCTGTACATGACGATGCTGACGAAGTTTGACTGCGTGGTAATGGACGACGAAACCTACGTCAAAGCCGACTACAAGCAGCTTCCGGGACAGGAGTTTTATACGGCAAAAGGAAGGGGAAAGGTAGCAGATGTTTTCAAGCACATGAAACTGTCAAAGTTCGCAAAGAAATATCTGGTTTGGCAAGCCATCTGTACCTGTGGCTTGAAAAGCAGCATTTTCATAGCTTCCGGGACTGTCAACCAAGAAATTTACGTGAAAGAGTGTTTGAATAAACGTCTGCTGCCTTTCCTGAAGAAACACGGTTGTTCCGTACTGTTTTGGCCGGATTTGGCATCTTGCCATTACGGTAAAAAGGCCATGGAGTGGTACGCCGCCAACAACGTGCAGGTGGTTCCCAAGGACAAGAACCCTCCCAACACGCCAGAGCTCCGCCAAATTGAGAAATACTGGGCTATTGTCAAGCGGAACCTAAAGAAGACCAAAAAAACTGCTAAGGGCGAGCAGCAGTTCAAGGCAAACTGGCTTTCTGCGGCGAAGAAGGTGGACAAGGTGGCTGTACAAAATCTGATGGCAATTCGGATTTGGAAAAGCGGAAGCCTTATTAAATATTTTCCTGAATTTTATACTAATTGAACTTGAAAAAGAAATTTAATTTGATTTTTTAAATAAACGATTTCACCGATTTACACGTGTTTTCCCTTGACCAAATTTTGACCGTATCACCCTTTACTTGAAAGTTTCCATTATTTTCCTGAAGTTAATGAAACTGCCTTGAAGTGCTTTTGTAGTTTGAAAAACTAGCCAGATGCTTACAATACTTCTCATCAAATTCTTAAACTTCCCTGAACTTTATAGGACTTCCTAAAGTTTACTCAATTTTTCTAACGATCATTGATCTCCAGTAAAGGTTTAACAATTCGTTGAAGTTCTCTAAATTTAATTGAACCGTCCTAAACATGTTTGAGCTTTAGTGAACTTCTGAACCTATGCGAAGACCTCAATTAACTTCTCTGAAGTTATCTGATAATATGGGAACTGCTTCAAATTTCCCACTAATTTTCTGAAACGAATGGAACTGACCTCCCCCTGAAATGCCTCAAATCTTCGGAGCTAACTGAATTTCTTTCAAATGCTCCCGCGGATCTCCCCTTAAGCTCCATAGATTTCTATGAAGTTCTCAAAATGTTTCTGAAGACCACTGTCCTGCAGTAAAGTTTTCTAAGTTTTTCTAAATTCTGGAACTTTTTATATATTTCTATGATTTTCACTAAGGTTCTCAAGATTTTTCTGAAGTGCATGAAACTTCCCTTAAATTATAGACAATAATTTAAAACTTCTTCAATAGTCTAAACTTTCCTGGTGTTATTTAAACTGCCTTAACGATTACTGAATTTCTTTAAATTTCTCTAGACTGCCCTGAATTTATCAGTATTTTTTAAGAACCCGCAGCTTTACTAAAATTAATTGATTTGCCTTGAAGTTTCGACAATTTCCCTAAAGTATTATAACCATTATAAACGCTCACTAATTTTCCCTGAAATTTGTTTAAAATCCGGGAAATTTTTTGATATACATTTCGGATCAATCATAGAATTCTTGGAATACCCCATAATTCCAAGGAACTCCTTGTAATTCGCTGCAAATTTGCTTATGTTAATGGGATTATTCTGAAGCTATCTGATCGTCCTCGGAGTACTCGGAACTTCGTTGAATATCATGAAACTATCCACAAATATCGAAATTTATAAAAATTTCTCCAAAAGACATAAAAAAAAACTTGATCAAAGTTCATTTACCTATTTTTTTTAACTAATCGAACTTCGTTGATGTTCTCTAACAACTCAGCTAAATTTTCGCATTTTTTTAAGTTCTTAAAATCTCCATGATATAACACCCTTAAAATTCTCACACGTTTTCCGGATGTTCATATAATTTTTATCACGACTCAGAAATTCTCTCGGACCTTTGCTGAAGTTTCCGGAAATTCCTTGAGTTTCTCGAAACTTCTTCATGGTTTCTACAATTTTCTTCAAATTATTTGAACTCCCCTTTGATTCTATGATCTGTTTAATGTTCTCTAAGCTTATCTAAAGCTCTCAATTCTATTGAAGATCTCGGTTCTGCTCGGAAATAAATGGAATTCCCGTAACACCTTTGAATTTGGACTTCTGTGTAGTTCCTGAAATATTTCTGATGTTTTCATAAATTCTCTGAAGGTCTCTGTAGTTTCCTGAAATTCTCGGAACATCTTAAGGAATCTCGATTTTTTTTCAGCACATCATGGAACTATCCTGAATTTTTCTAAATTTACTATTATAGATCTTTAAACTGCTCCAAAAGTCTAAACTAATGCTACGGCAACTGCTCTTAAGATCTGAAATTCCCCAAAGAACTCTATATCTAGCTTCTCTGAGGTGCTTAAAAGTTCGTAAAAAATTGCACAATACCCCTCAAGTTTTCTATATTTCTTAAGTTCACTTGACACCTGTGAAGTTCTCTGAAATTCTAGGAACTTCATAAAAGTGTCACACTTTTAGGAGGGAGGGGGGTTTGTGGAAACTGTGACGAGCCTTACAAAAAACAATTAAGGTCCATATAAAAAATGTGACAAAAGGGGGAGGGGGAGTTGAAAATGGGCCAAATTTGCGTGACCTAATTAATGGACCTTCCCTAATCGATTAATCAGTATTTAGTCAAAGATACTGGATTTTCTTACACTTGATATATTTGCTTATATTTAGAACTTAAGCAGTTTTGAAAGACCTGGAATTATTGTCTTATTCGAACCAATAGTCGTTGCGATAAATTGTCCATTCAATCAACTTTTCTATCATTGAATCGAGTTAGGCAACCGTCCTTTCCATCGTCCTAGGACAAATCAAAACCAGCCAAATCAACAGCAAAACAAAACCAACGTCGCAATACTAAATCCAATTTCTCATCAACACTTGCAGGTCCTCCCGGTGACAAAGGTGATCCAGGTCCGGAAGGTCCTCCTGGTCCACAGGGCGAGAAGGGCCCCCGGGGTAAACGAGGCAAACGAGTGAGTATACCCATTCTAATTCGTCAAAACCCGAAAACAAATCAATTAATACGGCCCAACCTACTGCAACTGAGGAGAAAGCTCGTTGGTTTGAGCAAAAGAAAGAAAAAACCATTGAACTTTTTTACTCAGAAGAGAACGATTGAATTCTGACTGACAGCAATCGACTTCGATTAAAAACCGACCTGACACATAGACTACTGAGCACGCTTTTGACGCCCAGTTTTTGCTCGTTGCATGAGTGCCTGTGAATAATTGACCGCTAGTAGCTCGCCGCCTGCAACAGCATGCAACAATTTGTCTTTTTCACTCAGCGTGCCTGCGTGGATTTTCCATTCGCAAATATTCATCATTTTCTAGGAAACCAAAATCCCAGGATGCAAGCCGACATGTCAACATCAATCTACGGTGAATGCTATGTTTTATTTATTTTATTTTCCACTCATTTACTCATTCATTGCGAGTCCGTAGGCAAACAAATCGCGGGCATGACCTCTCTCTCTCTCTTTCTGCCATGCACCTCCGGAAGATCATTTGATTTTTTAGTTCGGTTCATTTCTCATTTTTTTTATAGATTAAAAACAAACAAATCAGAAGAGCTTTTAGAAGCCATCGTCGCGCGATCAAAAGAGTTTGATTTTTTTTCTCATCACTTTCAGAGCGAAAATTGCTTCTGTAGGTATTCTATAGGTGGAAAAACGGGGCCGGCATGACCAGCATCGCCGGACTAAAAATTGTATTTATTTTAATTGGATATAAATAATGAAAACAAAGCGGAAGCCGTAGTGCCGCCCAGCGTGGATTTTTTTCCTCTGGTTCGTGAAATGGAATAGTTTTCCGTTTATTTGCGGTGCAACATTCCCATCGCAGCATGCCGTGATGTATGAGTTGCTACGTGCTAGAACTGTTGCCCAGTGCAACAAAAAAAATCAACGATTCAAATGAAAACATGAGATTGCTTGTTCCGCTGAAAAGCATTTTCATATTTTCTCACCACACTCGGCAACAGTGGCTGTAGAGGTATCGTTCATTCATTCATTCGTATTCGGCGAATCCTTCCGCAGGACATTTTAAAACTATAAAAGTACCGTTTCATCATTCTTGTCTGGCCAGCCATCGCATCGCATCGCCTACTGCGCGTTGTTGTTATTTTCATCCCCACCGTTTGCAGTCCATTTGTCATCACAAATGTCGCAATAGGCGGTGGCATCAGCTGCAGCCCCGGTTTCGGGCCACCTGCTCCGAAAGGATGAGCTTGATTTTGTGATAAAATATATTGTTTCTACCTCGGCTTCCCTCCTCGCGGTCAAGCTCCTCCTTAAACTGTGACTATTTGACACCGTTGATAGCGGGCAGCAGGGGAAGATTAAGCTGCCAGGAACCGCAAAAACCGCAACTCATCCTCCGAGCTGAACGCCGTCGTCTGTGCCGGCCGGGCCGAAGCGAACATAAATTATGAGGCTGCTCTTCGCACTACATATATGTAGATGGGCTCATGCATGTAGTAGGTCGTCGCACCGGTACCTGGCCTGCATTATCGCCTACGTGGAAACAGTGGAAGAACAACGTCATCGACGAGAAGCACCCATCCAGCAGCGATTTTCCACAAGCTCGCATCAGAGTGCAGGTGAAATTCAGAATAATCGAGGCAAACACCAAAAATTGCTCTGCACCCTGAGGCTGTAATAATGACTGAAGAGAGCGGAACACTGTTACCGGATTTGTGCAGAATCGAACGGAGAACAGCGCGCTGTGCACTGGGAGCCCCCACTCGACTCATAAATAATTTAGATGTTATTCATTTTGATGGTTTAGCATATTATGTTTACATGTTTGCATATTTATTTCATCCTATTTTATTTCGCTGTTGATATTTGCTCCTCATCCTCTTCACTCACCCATGCCTCCATATCATCATCATCATCATCATCTCTTGTTTGGAATCATTTGCACAGTACAGTATACCTTACCGCAACGGTTGCATGGCATGCTGGGATTATGTTTTTGTGCGTTTGACGGAGAGATTGCGATGAACGATGGTGATGGAGAGTTTGCACCTTGGTTCAAATTTTATAGCTCCGGAGGGGAAACAGTTGGCTCCGGATATCACTGCGGTTTTGTGAATTCTTGGCTAAACAAAAAACAGAGGGCTGCACAGTAGGGTGGTTCAAAATATTGATTTTCCTCCACCCCACTCAATTGGTTCTAAATCAGATTCTGATTATTTTCCCGCAATTCGAGCTCATTTGATTGCTATGGAAAAAGCAAGCTTGCTATCTTGTGTGAAATTTTATCAGCTATAACTTTGCTGAGGACCACATTTTAATTGAACGTCAGACTGCGTAGTCGATTACTAACTAATTATCTTGAAGTTGAATTAAAAAGTGGTCTGCAGCAAAGTTGTAGCGGATTGAGTTTCACTTAAGAACAGATAGCAAGATTACGCGTAAATCATTATGGAAAAAGGTGAGGACGATGAGAACAAAAAGTTTCATTTTCCCATAGTAGTTCCCATACAAACTTACAGTATGAGATCGCAACTAAATGAGCTCAAATTTGTAGGAGATAATTCGGACCTGATTTAAAATCGATTGACCCCGCTCAGAAAGGAAAATCGATATTTGGAACAACCCTAATGCACATATCGTACGTACCAAAGGGAAGTCTATTAAATTTTCAAGGCTTTAACCACAAGTTTTCGGTGCTACAATGTATTAACTTCCAAACCTGAATTTGATTCGGGTTTGCTCACAATTTCAATGGAAGACCAGCACAAGTCTTCTGAAAACAATGCCGAAATGTCTTAAGGACTAGTGGGAAGAAAATTTCTGTTTTCGTTGAATACTGTAGATGTTCCAATCTAGGTTTTTGTGGTGGTGGAAATTGCACTCATTTTTTGATGATTACTTGAACATCATTTAAGTTATTCGACAGCTCTAGGCCTTAGGCCGATAAATGAAATACTGAAGCGCTCATTTTTGCATGAGAATACATCATGTTTAAAATCACGATTTTGGTCTTAGTTAAGAACTCAAGGACTTTGTTTATCCTCTGATAATAATAAGCTAAAGTACTGCTGAACACCCTCATTTAGATAATGCTCTTTCACAGGATGGCCAGTGAATTTTTATTTTAAAATTCCCGGTTTTGCCGAATAAAATTTAAATAAAATCCGGGTGTCAATATTCAGTAAAAAACGAAACAGTTGAAATTATTACAATATCCCGTTATATTCTAGGTACTTAGTATCAATTTGAATAAGTATACTATTTACGAGTCCTTTCATGATTTAAATCGCCAACATTTGATTTTGATTAAAATCAAAATCCCAAAATTATTTTAAGAATAAGTCATATGAAATTAAAAATCTTCAGGGATTTGTGAAGAAGACTTCAAGGTGAATTCCTGGGCAATTCTAAGAAAGAAAGTTCTGAAATGAATTCCTACGTAATTCTTATAATAATTTCATAAAAGATATGAAAAGAACCTGATAGGGAACTGCTACGTGACGCTGAAGCGAAGAAAAAGAAGAAATCACTGTGCACCGGAGATTCAACGGTAGCAGTCAGTCCCGATGTTTCAGCATGTCGACCATCGAACGCCCACAACGGTGAGCTCACCGTAGAAAACGTTTTAATAAACGAATTAAATTAAAACCGACCTAGCTACTAATTATTTCCCGTAATAAAAATGTCTGCCCGTCTAAACCCCAACTGACTGACTCTCTGTTCTAATTGTTGTTTGTTAAGCAAATCTTGTTTTCCGGCATCCATTGTAAATTCCGCCTTTCCACCAAATATCGGGATGAAGACTGCCCCATTGTCCTAGAGGTCGATCTATATACGACCCTGAATGACAAGGTATGTAAAGCACCACTTTCACGCCTAAACCATACAAAGATTTAACTATCAGGTTGTCAGCTTGTAAATTTTAGGAATAAATCAGAAATAAACAGAATTATGACGATAATTCAAAGAGATTTATAATTCAGGAAAATTTCTGAAGAAAGTTTTCATTTCTGATCCTCAGATACTAAGATTCCAGAGCGGAGTTTTTATTTACATTTGTGAGAATATTTTCGAAGGATTAGTATTAAAGGATTTCTATGGAAGATTGCGAGGAAATTCTAAGGGTAAATTTAAGGCAATTTCGAAGATAATTTCAATGTACGGGAAGAGTTTAAAGGGTATATCCCATAACAAGAAAAACTCCATAGTAATTATGGAAAATCAAAAGCTGTTTATTGATTTCGAATAAATTTGTATTAAACCATTTGGAAAAGTGATACATAAAATTGAATCATCATGACTTAGAGATCACGGTAATATCAGAACTTCATTTTGTGCAAACTTTTTAATAATTTAGTACAAAAAGCACATCATAAGTTATAATAAACTTGTACTATATATATATACATGAAAATTAATTTATGTCTGTCTGTCTGACCCTTATAGCACCAGGGCAAGCATGAAAAATCTACCATTGGCATTGGTTTACAAAATCTTGAAGATTGACACCCATATTGATGTGGTTTCGGTCATGTCCCAAATTGGCCACTTCCCCCGGGGAACCCAGAACCATCACAACTTGCGACGCTGCAAATTATTCTGCAGATATCGCACTGATAAATCATGAGGGTTGATACCGATATTGAGGTGATTCAAAAGATTAACATTGCAGGTCACTTTACCGGGAACCGAAATGGAGGAAATGGCCAGATCTTGGATCTGTGGCCAGCATTGAATTCAAAATTGCTTCTTGTATCAGAAAAAATATGAATTCCAACATATTTTCATAACAGAAAAAATACAAGCGATGAAAGAATCAGTTTTTGACATACCTCCCAAAAATCCGGACCATCTCCGGTGGCCACTAACCACCACAAATTTTCAAATGATTTATTTAAACTGCTATAAATTTCCCGTCAAATGCATCTGGTTACCTCAATATTCCTGATGAATGTGGGCGTGTTAGTGGAATGCCTGTATAAAGAGAGAGAG